ACAAAAAAACAATAGAAAAGTTTTTTTTTTCCACCAGGGTTAGTCCTACGTTATCATTTTTGGACAAACCAAGGCAGCGCTCGAATTACATACGAGTCCTCTTCCCACTCCAGGTGAAAATAAGAAATTTTATTTGCTTGTTAGCTGTCTTTCGTTCATTTTTTTCTGCCTCACTGCTTTGTTGTGAACACGTGACCCTAAAGTCTCGCGAGACCGTGTTCGGAGTGCTGTTATACCGCACCCAAAACTCGTGAGACTACGTCTGTGAGCGGAGTCAGCTGTGCTGGGGAGGGCGGAGGGAGCATGTTCAAGGCTGGAATGTAAACTCCTCCCGCCTCCTACCTCCACTGCTTCTGCCTGACAGCTCAGCGAGCAGACATGAGTCCCTGGCTGGAGCACAACTGTTGCTCTCAGCTGTTAGAGGAAGGTTGCGCTCTGTGAGCGACCGGGAACCAGCCGACGAGCTACCGGTCGATCGCGATCAACTGGTTGGGCACCCCTGACTTACATTCTACAAGAAGTAGAAAATCATTACTCCTGTTTCATTTTGGCTTGTTTTCATTGCAGTTTGATATTGTTAAAAAAGAATAAATTAAAAAATATCCATGTCTATAATGGAACCTCCCACATAGAAGGAATKAAATTGTAGTTGGATGAGAAATATAAATATAAACCATTCTGACACCKTATTGGTTTATATAATCCATCATCACACCTGTAAGACACAAATCGGCTCACACTCCAGCAGGACATAGCAGACATACTGTATGTATTCTAGTAAGTAGATGACTGTGACAAATACAGTATGCACTGTATATACTGAATATACTGTATATATATAATAATAATAACATTTCTTTTCCGCCCTCAGATGGGCGGCCACATCCGACAGACTTCCTGATTGTTTTCTGTTCCATGTCTGMCCATTAATAAATGATTTTACGACCATACCCGCAAGACTTTTTGCCTTTTTAACATCCTTTTCAACGTGTTTTCTGCCCATCTTGCCGCGACAACAGYTGAAGCAGGTAGTCTAACGCATCCCAAAGTTTCCATTGTTAACATTATAAAATTAGTCATTATGGTCTTTAAAAAGTATTTTTGGGGAGGTTACATCCCAATAAATGTYATTTTGGACTTTGTAACTGCTCACTTTTACTTAATAAGTTTACTACTAAAGAACATTTTGTATCCGAAATTTACTTTTGTTAAGTACAGTAAATATCAGATAGTTTAAGACTTTYACTCAAGTAATATTGTTAGAGGAGGTACTTTTACCAATGTAATTTAATGGTAAGATACTTGTACTCTTACTCAAGGATCACTTTGAGGTACTTTGTACAACAATAAAAATTGGAAAAGTCAGATTTTGTCCACACATTAAAAGTTATACCCTTATAAAACAATGCTGAATGCATTTAAAATCAGATGAACAAATGTGTTGTGTTAGGCTCCTCCTGAGATTCCTTTAGACCAGACTGTAGACTGTCCAGAAGGCAGCAGCTCGTCTTTTAACAGGTACTAAAAAGCATGAACACATAACCCCGGTCCTGGCTTCTCTCCATTGGCTTCCTGTTCACCTGAGAATTGATTTTAAGATTTTATTCATGGCTTTTAAAGTTTTTAATGGTCTGGCCCCATCATATTTATGTGATCTTCTTAACATCTACACTCCAGTCAGAGCACTCAGGTCTACCAACCAGTTCCTGTTAGATGTCCCTATAGATCCAAACTKAAATCTAGAGGTGACTGGGCCTTTGCAATAGCTGCTCCAAAGCTGTGGAACAGTTTACCTCTTAATATTCGGTCAGCAGAAACTGTTGAGGCTTTTAAATCTTTGCTGAAGACATTTATTTTCTTTTGCTCATGTTTAAGATTTGGAGGTTCATTTAGAGCTTTTTTATATATTGTGTTTCTGTATTTGCATCTATTTTTTTGATGTCTTGACTGAACTGTGAAGCACTTTGGTCAGCTTTTGTTGTTTTAATGTGCTATACAAATAAATTTAACATTGACATTGACATTGACATTGACCAATAGACACCCCATGTTTACTGTTTTTAATAGCGATAACTTTGGTCACCTAGCTGGCCGTAAAATCTATCCAATATTATCCAAGAAACTGTCTGATCCTATCAGTGCAGTTTTGTTACTGTAAGTCAAAATATTAAAACAATAAGAAAGATGCTGAATGAAAGAAAAATGAACGTAGTTCACATCTCACTTTGGGTAAAAATATCAGTTGATGAAAAGAATGAATGTTTTCTATATAATGTCTGGCCAGTGCATTTTGTGTTAGACAATAAAGTGGTGCTTAGGGAGCTCAAACCCAATCAATTTCTGCAAGTCAGTAAGAGAGAAGCCAATTGCTTAAGTGTTCAGATAGTCTGATTGGAGTCCCTGGTGACTGGCGCTGTCAGTAATGAGATATAATAAGTGCAACCCTGGGAGACTTCAATTCACATAATGCCTGGGGAGGCAAGAGTTGCGATGACATTTAAAATCTAATTGGAAATACTTTTGTATTGTATGAAGTGGGTTTGGTGGGGGAGACAAGATATTCTTGCTGTGTGTGACACAATGAAGTGTAACAAAACTATTTAAAACAGACCCAGCATTTTAATGTTTCACTTTAAGAAATCACTGAGGCAAATTAAAGCCAGCTGTTTACAAAAAACAACTAGGTACCTTCATGAGGAGCTGAACCAGATGGAAGATTTCAGGCTAGCTGAATGGTTTAAACTTAGAGTTTAATACAAGTTGGAAAATGGCATTTTACCGTTTAAAGTCAGATAAAATGTTACATGAATCAAAACAAGTTATTAGTGACTCGACAGACAYTAGTGACCTACATAAAGTTCCTATAAAATAAATAATTTGTGAATTCATTGTCTTTTTTTCTCATCTCAGTCAGGAATGTTGTGTCTTATTGTGAAATCTGCGTATTTGGTTTTACATTAGAAGATTACCACCACCCTGAATGCTGGCCAGTCTGTATGAAGTTAATCATTCATAAGCTCCCAGCTGTCCCTGGGTCAAAATGACCCCTGACGTCTGAGTTTTRAAGCTGAGGCCTCATGAGTTATTTTGACCCTGGAGCAGTAGAACGTTTACGTGGCAAAAACTTCAAAACACATTATGAACAAACCTGTGTCACCCAACCTTTCTGCCTGCCTCTATAACGCATCATGCAAAGAGAGACTGAACCGATGTTGTCCTTGCTCTTATTTCACTTAGCTAAGCTAACAGCAGCGTCGTGGATGTACACTGGCAGGTGGTTGTTCTTTAACAGGGCTGGAAAAAAAGATGAATTGTACACAGATTACCCCTTTATTACACCTGTTTTATYGTCGAGGTGAAGCCTGTGTTGCAACCGCATATGCATCACACCAGCAAATGACTGGTGGGTCATGGTCCTTGCCTACTGATGGTGGTCAGAGGGTCCGGTGGCGCCGGTGCATGGCAGCCCCACCCCTGTCAGTGTGCCCCAGGGCAGCTGTGGCTGTAGGTTACTGCCATCAGTGTGTGAATGTGTGTGTGCATGGGTGAATGCCTGAAGTGTAAAGCGCCTTGGGGTCCACGTGGACTTGATAAGGCACTATGTAAGTTCAAGCCATTTATCATTTCATTGACCCAGTACATCAAGCCAACTGTTACTAATCTAGGGGGTAAAAGTTGATATGTAACAAATACATTTTGGCTCCAAAGACTGGATATACAAAACCTGCGACAGGAAATCTGACTTGCAAATTTATGCCATGATGAACAGGAATCCATATGATTCCTGATAAACTTTGTTTGTGTACTAAATCAAAATCACCAAATGGCAGAACCTTCTGTCAAATGGGTTCACAGAAACCAAATCAAGCTTTGAAAAGCTTTAATAAAACTCATTAACAATCATCACATAATCATCTAAACAATCAGATTTACAAACAACCAAAGTTTTCCAAAATTAGCATTAGACATGAACTACTTAAATGTGGCCAATGACTATCGATTTATTTAAAAAGTTTTTAAGTTATCATCAGAGAAATTCAGGAGCTAACTACGCTAAACTAATGTACCACTACTTGGAGTGACATATCTTACTCATCGGATCATTTCTCAAGCAACTGCAAAATGAGCTTTTTGCTTCATTTATTGATGGAAATTCAGTTTGGCAAATTTGCTCTTATAATCCATCTACCATACCAAGTTTCAAAATTCCAGTCATCTGCTGAATTCTGTTGCAACCTGCATAACGAGTTCCTCGGAATATATGGGCATATTGATGTTGCATTTGTACACGTAAAGAGAATCAGTGAGAATGGATGGTGTATTGACTTTCTGAAGAGGTCTCTCACTTTGTGGTGAAATATCATAATCATTATCCTTCAAAATGGTGGGGTAGTTACAGGGGCAGGAGAAATAAGAGTATACTGTAGGTTTTAGCCTTATTTTCACAGTCATATCCTTGTGTGAGTTCAAATACCTTATCATCAGTTTAATCATGTGTGTTTTGATTGATTTATTATCAGGAAGAGATTGCCTCCAGATTTTGAGTTTTCAAACCAACTTAATTTATTTATATA